ATTCTACTCTAAATAAAATAGCCTTTATTACAGACTATATAATACATAATAAAGGATTCACCCATAATATGTATTAAGTATTACGGATGAATATTTTAGAGTATACATATTGTAAACTGCATAATTCGTATTATAGACTAGACTGCATAAGATATATTATAGTAACTTTACATAATATATTTATTATGCAGACTTATGTATGAATCGTTGAGATATATAAGTGTAAAATCATTAAATTTCTTAAAATTCACTCGTAGACTTAAACAAAAGTATTACTTTTTTACAATGGATAACTTACATCAAATATCTTCAAAGCTATTTTATTTTCTACTTGCGTGTGGTCCAAGCAATCAAGTAAGCATATATATTACAGAAAAAATTCTAAAATATCTAAAAATATCTTGTTTTATATGAAAATATATTTAATCTGTGAAAGGTTTAACTGTCAGTCAGAAAGTGTGATTAATTGTGAAAACTTAAATCTGACAAGAGAAGAAGGGGGATCGTATGTTAATGATACTAAAATCTTGCATCATTACCACAACAAACACAGCGACTTTTGATCAAATTCGAGATAAAACATGAGCTTAAAGTGTGCATATCGTGACATTTTGTCATCTTCCAAAATTTAGAGTTTATATATCACAGCGGGTTACTTAAAATCTAAGTGAATTTTTAAGTTATAAATCAAATAAAAATCATCTTAAAAGTGATTTGTAATTTTTACAAAATACCTTCACGTTATGTGTGGGAGTTTGATACTTTACAAATTTCAAATGTTTGACGTAAATGTTCACCTTTGACCTCTTTTCTTAAGAATTATTTGAATTTGTGATTGTCTATTTAATCTTTGATAAGCCTTAAATAGGCCTATATTCATAATAAGTTTAATAGTCATATTTAAGGCATGGGGGTAATAATTTTTAAGTTTATGCGGTTTTCTTATTAATTATTATCAAGAATTTTGTTAATATAATCAAAAAATAAAGTCCCAAATACCTAAAATGATTTATGATATTATTATTGCCGAACACGTTTACTACAAGTCAACTTTTAAGAGTTAATTATAAAAGTGTTATTGTCTAGATTCTAGTTGTCTGTTTGCAAAGATAAGCTTTGATAAATTATTAAGAACTAGTTTATTAATTAGTATAATATGCTTATTTATGTACAGGTACAGTACGTCTACAGAATCATAAAACTAAAACTTCGTAGAAACTAAAAGATCTATATGAATCGTCCATGTAATTTATAGGTTATCTCTTATTTTATAGCTTTAATATAGAAGAAAATTCGAAATATTTCTTAATATTCAGGCATTATTAATTTAAATATAAGACTCAAACTGTACAAAAGATAAATATAATAAATTAAGGTATAAATATACAATAAATTAAAGCTTAAGTGAGCTCAAATTCTACATACAAATAAATATAAANGAAAACCATATAGAACAAGACCAACAAAAAATGTCTTATGCAGAAGATCATTGTCAATTTGAAGTCAATTATATGTGCAATGAATACATACAGATTAAATATGGTATAAATTACAGTTTACATGGTATACTGGTACAGACAAATGTATGATGGGATGTGATCAAACCAATAACAAAACATCACAGTTAAAAAAATTGTCACATGAGATTGATTATCTCATTCCAAAAATCAGTAAACAGGAGTATGAGCTTGTGTTTATAAAACTGGAAGTATTTGAAGAGTTTACCAAAAATAAAGCATTTTAGTGTCCTAAAGTGTCTTAGTAATGGAGAAGGTATTCTAATTGAGGTCATAGTTGTAATCAATAACTGATTTAGCAAGTTCTGTGTCTTTTATACCTTGTGCTATAGATTTTTGATTTTCTTCTATTCTGACAATTGTTGTGAGGTAAACCTGATATACTGTGTGTAAATTTATGTATATAAATACATCAGGTCTAACTCACAACAATTAACAGGAGTACAATGCAATTATCATTCATTAGCATTAATCATTTTAAATTTATTTTTGTAAATATCTGATATCTCAGAAATGCACCTTGGTCCTATTGTTTACAACTAATATTTTGATTTCTTGTTGAGATGTATGTGGAAGAATATAATTGAATGTGCAAAAGAGCAACTTTTAGGACAAAGTTCTCACTTGTGGAATAGATGCATTATACAATTGTCTCTGCTAGCATATGAACAAATTTGAAATTAGGTGTAAAGCCCAATAAATCTTATTGTCAATAGACTTATATTTACTTTGACAGTATTCAGCCTTTCATATGACCTTCTGGATTATATTAAGTCCACCTTGTAATAAGTATACATTGGAAGTTAATATCAAAGTCCTTCTAATTAAGGAACTAATAGCCGTGTGCTTAAATGCAGAAGGTTGTAATGAATTGCAAGGAATGACTAGGGATAAAAAAAAATAAACTTGTGAAAAACACTGAATTTCAATACATTTGTGCCAATTTGCATTGACAGGTCCAGAAAACTAATGGAATTGTTACTTTTATCATTTTATACCATAAACCATAGATGGATAAACGTTATTTAAAACTTAACAAATGTTTAAAACTATTTGAACATGCCATCCCAAGCTATGATGGCATCACCTACATATCTCAAGTAGAACAATGAATACCTAATGATAAGTGGATATTTCAAACACAAAACTAATTTATGCATTACAATCTCAGCTTAGGCAGCTGATAAGGAAGAGCACACACATATCCCTGTTTCTGAAAATAGATATTTTACCTGAAGCAGGCTTGGTGAAGGCCGAAAACATTCAGAAATTACGTCAAAAATTCAATTACTGGTTAAAAAAGGTTTTGTTTATTTCTCTTAATATAAAGTAATTGTTGTTTACAATTAAGTCTAACAAATCTTTGATTAACAAAACTTATTGATTGACCAATCTTTATCTATTAATAGCATTTTAAATAACATAAAGACTTCAAAAATTGGGATTGATGAGTATAAAGCATTTACATCTATTTTGTAAAATTAGATATCTTACATCTTTGTACATTATTTACTTATTATATTTGTTAACAAGTTATTATTTATATCACTTTTAATCTTTTAATATTCATTGTATATGTAATCAACTCAGAGCCATAGCTACAGGGAATTATGAGATGGCTAAGCCCCCTCAGCTTAGTCAGCAATGCCCACATGCAATATACATAATATATGCTTTGTTTCCATCAAGTAAACTTAGACTACTGTTAATTTTTTACACTTGGACTATAGCTAATAGGGGCAGTGCTGACTGGGAAAGAGAAATATTTGTCTGAGAATTTCGTAGCCCCCTGGAAAAGGGACTAAATCAACTTCAAATTCATAATATTCTTCTTCGTGTGTGATTCTTTATCTTGTTCCAGTCACCTTTCCTGATGACAATGATCTGAATTCATCTAAAATGTTTGAAGTTTAACATTAAAAAATTCTGTTTTTGTTACCATCAAAAGATTGAGTTTTTTCTCAAGCTGCTTGACATACACCTCACTTATTGCTTTAATTAAATAAAGGAGTCAGAGCCGAAGTTGAAGCAAATGTGTACCAACTCCACAGACCGTGTTTCTTTTAATCAATAAGTCAACTTAATTTCATAATACAGAGAATTTATATAATATCTTTAACTTACCCAACCTTCGATCCTTTTCTTAAGAGCATTGTATCTTTCTCTCAATTGACTTGCCATCAATTTAAACTGATCTCTCTCACTTCTATATTTATCTAATTCTTTACTTAATATCAAAAGTGCTTCAGTTTTGCTATCAAGTCTACATTTCATGATATTATACTAATAAAATTAATGACTTAGTCTAATAAAGATTTTATGAATTTTAACATTTATATAAATTTTCAAATATGTAACAAGTTGATTTTCACTATAACACCACAAGTACCTTTAAAATCCAGTCCAATGTTTAATCAAATGATGAGAAATATACTTATAAAAAACACCACCTTTTTAATCATCCAGCAAAAATATTTAATAATGTAAAAACGTTTTCAACCATTTTTAATGGCCTTCGTCAGTTAAACGCATATTAACAAAAAAGAACATTAAATAGATCATAAGGAATTAAAATATGAAAAATAATAAAATGCGCATGAGTAAATACAAATAACTTGCACAATCAATATATTATACAATAAATAAGTAAATTAAAAAATAACCAAAAATATGTGTCTGCATCACTACATGCTATTATTCCCTACCACCGTAAAACGATTTCCATGCTGTTGATAAAGAATCCGCATCTCTATGATTAATACACATTGTTTTTACTTGCGCTTTATATATATCTAGCTTTTCAAGATGCCTGATTGTAAAGCTAGAGATATATAAAGCATAAGTAAAAACAAGGTGTATTAATCATAGAGATGCGGATTCTTTGTCAACAGCATGGAAATCGTTTTACAGTGGTAGGCAATAATAGCATATAGTGATGCAGACACATATTTTTGGTTATTTTTTAATTTACTTATTTATTGTATAATATATTGATTGTGCAAGTTATTTGTATTTACTCATGCGCATTTTATTATTTTTCATATTTTAATTCCTTATGATCTATTTAATGTTCTTTTTTGTTAATATGCGTTTAACTGACGAAGGCCATTAAAAATGGTTGAAAACGTTTTTACATTATTAAATATTTTTGCTGGATGATTAAAAAGGTGGTGTTTTTTATAAGTATATTTCTCATCATTTGATTAAACATTGGACTGGATTTTAAAGGTACTTGTGGTGTTATAGTGAAAATCAACTTGTTACATATTTGAAAATTTATATAAATGTTAAAATTCATAAAATCTTTATTAGACTAAGTCATTAATTTTATTTATTCTTTCAATAAGCATAAAATGAAATACAAACATAAATAATTATTAAAAAATTAGAAAAGGATTTGATACAAATGAGAAGAATTAGCCAATACCTGACCTAGCAGTGAAATAATTATTAAGTGNAGCAATTCAATTTGTACACCAAAAATAATTTTATAAAGAAGCACAAAATCTAATTAATATTCCAAAAAGAAGAAAAAAAAATCAATTTTGTTTAATGAAAGACTATCGATTACACGAACATTATATTGTATAATATATTTTAAGAGTGCAATTCTTGAGAAGATAACAACAAAGCTATTAAGCACCCACCCCTTAACATTCAATGTTTTGATAAGAATACTTCATTCATGTTTAGAATATTCATCTTTGCCACTAAGAAGACTGTAATGAGTTATCTAATTATATATCTTGTTATTAAAGGGTATGAGACAAAATTCTTTCAAAATGTTTAATGGATGTCATTGCTTTCAATTTATCATCTTGGATGATTAAATATTACTCTTCTTCTTTTTTCACTTATCTCCTTATTAATAATCATAAAATATTTGGGTGTAATCTTGGTTTGGAATTATAATAATCTATCCTCCTCCTCCTCTTCTTCTTTTTTTTTTTTCTTTCTTAATTAGAATCAGAAAATTTAATTAAAAAAAATTAATTTATAATATTGAATAAAAATTATATTTTTTATAACTTAAATTTATAATTTTTTAATTTGTAATATTGGGAAAATATATTATAAATTAAAAATATTACAAATTGATTCACAGCACATGCATACTAATTACAATAAATCTTGTAATTATAATAATAATAATACTAATATATATTATATTATGTACTGTACATAATATATAACTATATATGTTATAGTATATGTACTAATTATGTATTAATTTACTATATATAAGTAATTTTACTTTAAAAAATTACAATTTCTCATATCCACATTGCAAAATTTATCCCTTGACAATGGATAGATCTATGAAACTCCCACGCTTCTTCTTATGTATAATTTATTTTTAATGATGCTAAAATTAAAATTGTGAAGTTTAAGTGTCTTAAATGCATTTAAGCGCCCTCAAAAATTAGACAAAACACAACACAAAGTTTTCTGTTGTCATCATCTAATTATAAGTACTAATCAATTATTCCTATTGACAATATGTGTTTAAACTCCTAGATCAATTAGTGTTTTTGGATTCACATTATTTGTTACACTTACTAATTAAAAGAAGACTGATCGTTGCGTGACTTAATACACTATATGCATAATTAATGAATTACTAAAATTGTTATTTAATACTTGACTTGCCGCCAAAGTTGTCAAATAATGATTAATTCTACGTTGTTAACAGCTCTTCTGTGTTAAATGTGTTCAAATGTTGATTTGGCTTCTAGCTTAATGTTTTATTATTTTAAAAATATATAATAAATAAATAAATATCTCGAGTTGATTAAATTCTTTCATGTTTAGAATTCATTAATCTAAATTTAGATTAATTAAATTTAAATCACTACTAAGAAGGTTGAAAGTAGGGTGAAGGATGATAGTAAGGGTTGGGATATTTTTATAAGATTTTATAGTGTTTGAAATGTTATAAATGAGAGGGGATTGATTTAAATTAAATTAAATTTATTTCCATTTTTAAAATGGAAACTTAAGAGCATTTAAGTAAGAATTAATCATAGTTAGATTGTTTATGGATGTAGAAAACCATTTATGTAATGTGTGTTTTAGCTTCAAACACATTTACTGTATGCTTCAAAATATATTAGATAAAATATTGAAAAAAAATATCAGAATTGATTACTTCAACATTACATTCTTCCATATTTAAAATTAATAAACATAAATATAATTAAATCTAAGTCCATACTCTTAAGAAGAGAAAAAATCTGCAGTTTTTTTTTGTGTTTAAAATCTTATTAACAAAATACAAGATTTAAAATAGATAAAAACTACTCTCCATTTTTAAAAACGGAAGCATTTGAAGTATATAGATAGGCATTGAAGTAGGGATTAATCATAGAAGGATGCAGAAACCATTTAAAGAATGAAGCTCTTCAACTTCAAACACATTTCTACTTCAAAATATAGTAGATAGAATCTTACAGCGATTAGTAAAGATAAGAAGAAGTGTATAGAAACTAAGTACAATTCTCAATTAACGTGACAAATGCCATAGGATAGGGAAGAAAAAAAAAATTAACAATTTTAAAATTAAAATGCAATTTAAAGTTAATGACTTTTGACGGGTTTAAACAAAGAAAGAAGTGTATATGTATATATATATAAAGATAAGATTGAAAGGTAGATAAAATTATTTACAGTATTTGAAAAATAACTTGCATGTACTAACTTATATACAAAGATTGACATTGTACAAGTAGGGGATTTCCCTAATGTTTGTCACAAACAAAGAATCGATTGCATTAATGTTTAAACTGGTTTTTTGATTACTTAAAGAATAAAACTTCCCATTCTATAATTATGCTTAGTCAAATAGAAAAGTAGGAATTTGATTTTTTTATTTTTTCTTTGAACTTACCCCCTTCGTCTTCTTCCTATCAGCTTGTCCTTTATTGTAGCCATTTACTAAATTCAAGATCTTATCTCCTTTGATTTGTTGAAAATTTTCCTTCTAGAATAATTGTCAAGAATAATTTATAAAAGAATAATTTTATTACAGGAAAATAATTTTTTTAAATTATGTTTTCCTGTAGAATATAATTTAAATTCATTTGGTTTATAAATTCATTGAAAGAATTTTTAACAATTACTATCATTATTATTATTATTATATGTAATATTTAATTTATTATTTATATCTAATTAGATGATAAATTAATTTATATTTATCCTGTAATTTGTATTGTTTTTATTAAAATGTTCTATTAATTTAATTCTTTTTTTTTAGTACACATTTATATAAACATATGAAAATTTATTTATTAAAATTAGAAGTAATTTTTAAAAAAATTCTAGTAAAATAATCTCTAATTAATTTTAATAATTTTTAATATTCCAACATTGTAACTTTTAATTACTTCTAATAAAGCAGCAATTAATAAATTCAATAAAATAACTCCAATAAGTTCTAAAAAAATTGCAGTAATGCTAAAAATTTACAATAAATTTCAACATAGTAAATTGCAATATGATAACTTTTAATTAATTCCAATTAAGTACTTGCAAAAGTAATTTTACAAATTTACTAAAAAATAAAATAAACATAACTTTTAACTTCTTAACATTATAATAAATTCATATGTGATGAATATCATATTCTTTTACATTTTGAATAATTTATTTTTAGTTATGTAAATATCAAGGAAAAATATCTTAAATAAAAAGAAAAACAATCTCATCAACATAAAATTCTTTTATATACAATGACAAGAACATGCTTAAAATAATTATTATTTAAACGTTATGTTTACTGCTTTTACACCATTTGCATTGATAGAAAATTATATAGAAATTAAAGTTATAATGTATAAAATTATCAAACCTCGATATAGAGACACCCTCATAAAACGCCAACGAATCTATCTCCTTGTTAAATATTACGTAAAGAATTAACTAAACGTACGATTTTATATTGCAAAGTGAATTGTTATCATCGTAAATCACGTAACTTTCAAACATTAAAACTTTAAACTTGTTTATAGACGTCACCTTTTTATATAATTCTTATTGTTCTGGACTCTTTGATTTAGGAAACTGAACAGTGGTGTCGTTATATCGAGGTATAACTATATTTTATAATGTAAATGACATAGAAATCATCAACTTCTTTGATTCGAAATTTTCGAAAAATGCTATTATTATTTATAGATCATTTATTTTCCGGAAGTGTAAAGTTAATTTTTCTCTTAAAAAATAAAAATAAAAAAAATTCTTGGTATGTCTGTTATCGAATAACAACATAACAAGATCTAATGGAGAAGGTTGACGTTCTCCGAAGCTTATCTATAAGAATTAATTTGTGGATATCGAGCAGGTGCTCATCAACGAACTCGTTTCAAACGACTTTTTATAATATAATAATTTCATTTTGACCCGTTACACAACACTTAACTGAGAATAATTTCTTTTTTTTTATTTCCTTTTTTACTCGGGTTAAATTTCCGTCACTAAGTGTTTCGTTCTTCCATTAATAAATTTCAAAATAAATTGATAAGGTAACAATTTGTAAAATGATTGCATGAAGATGTTGCATTTTTCTCCTTTATATTAACTTGTTGCAAGACGATTCTTTTCTTAAGTTAGAAAAATGGAATTTCTCTCCTTAAAAAGATAGCTGAAAGAAGATATTTTTTTTTTCTTAGTGTGAGTTAAGGTTGTTGAAAGCCAATTCCTCTTGTAAAGATTGCCGCAAGAAGAGAAGCTTCATTTTTCTAATTTAAATTGTTGTAAGCAGATTCAATTTTTTTTAAAAATAATTTATGAAAAATGCTTGCAGTTATTAACTTAAACTAATTCTGTTCTAAGTCAACATTAGATGAGTTAATAATAATGGTAAAAATCTAGAATAATTGAGTTAAATTGACAGAAAACAAAGAAGTTTTAAAGTATTTTAAAAACTGGTTTTTTAAAATACTTTAAAATGAAGAAAATAATAAAAATTTATTAATTTAAATATTAAAATAAATTTTTTTTACAAAATCAAAGAAATATTGTAATAGATTCTAGATAAGATTTAATCTAAGAAAAAGAAGAAATATGAAAAATTCGAATGATAAAATAAGAGCAAAATGCCTGTTAAATAGCGTAGAAGAAGTATTACATCTCGGTGGGGTTCTTACTCATTTCTCTGTCATCCATTCAGAAGCGATAAGATCACAAAATTGAAGAGGACCGGGATGTATTTCAGCTATTTCAATCATCGCCTTTCTACTACTAACCACTTGTTGATTTATTTAAATTGAAAACTGAGGGGAGGAGAAGCACGGAGGTCGATTGGGAACTTACTTCCGCTTGTGTATAGAGAAGGACGGTTGAGAGTCTGTTATGGATGACACGCAGCCATTAATTAAATGGTTCTCTTGTTTGTTTTTGACCTCTGAAGAGTTATGATGCATCGGCCGTCATGCAAGAGGACCGGGCCTGCTCGTTAGTCTGAATGAAGAGACTGGATGACAGCTGTCGTTGTTATAATGAGTTAGATGGGAAAACACCTGTTGGATGGATCTGTCAACTATCCCCCTCCATTTCTTTTAAACAATATCGTTAGGGGTTCATTTTTTTGTGGTTTCTGACCTTCGATAGGTGCTAATATAGATGAGTTTTGTAGCACAGAAATTCTAGTAAATATCACTCTAATTAAAGTGAAGATATATGTTCTTCAACAGCTTCATAAATCTTTGTGCTACATTATGTTTTTTTTTTTTACCTGCCTTCCTACAGTAATTCACTTGCATAAGTAAGTCTACCTTGCAAATTCTGGTTTGCTTAAAATATATAAAATAAAACCATACAATATATTCCAGTCTGTATAACACAGGTAAGATTTCATTACGTATATATATAGCACATACCTTAGGTTACCTAATATATATTCGAATTTAAATAACATATATTCTACTCTAAATAAAATAGCCTTTATTACAGACTATATAATACATAATAAAGGATTCACCCATAATATGTATTAAGTATTACGGATGAATATTTTAGAGTATACATATTGTAAACTGCATAATTCGTATTATAGACTAGACTGCATAAGATATATTATAGTAACTTTACATAATATATTTATTATGCAGACTTATGTATGAATCGTTGAGATATATAAGTGTAAAATCATTAAATTTCTTAAAATTCACTCGTAGACTTAAACAAAAGTATTACTTTTTTACAATGGATAACTTACATCAAATATCTTCAAAGCTATTTTATTTTCTACTTGCGTGTGGTCCAAGCAATCAAGTAAGCATATATATTACAGAAAAAATTCTAAAATATCTAAAAATATCTTGTTTTATATGAAAATATATTTAATCTGTGAAAGGTTTAACTGTCAGTCAGAAAGTGTGATTAATTGTGAAAACTTAAATCTGACAAGAGAAGAAGGGGGATCGTATGTTAATGATACTAAAATCTTGCATCATTACCACAACAAACACAGCGACTTTTGATCAAATTCGAGATAAAACATGAGCTTAAAGTGTGCATATCGTGACATTTTGTCATCTTCCAAAATTTAGAGTTTATATATCACAGCGGGTTACTTAAAATCTAAGTGAATTTTTAAGTTATAAATCAAATAAAAATCATCTTAAAAGTGATTTGTAATTTTTACAAAATACCTTCACGTTATGTGTGGGAGTTTGATACTTTACAAATTTCAAATGTTTGACGTAAATGTTCACCTTTGACCTCTTTTCTTAAGAATTATTTGAATTTGTGATTGTCTATTTAATCTTTGATAAGCCTTAAATAGGCCTATATTCATAATAAGTTTAATAGTCATATTTAAGGCATGGGGGTAATAATTTTTAAGTTTATGCGGTTTTCTTATTAATTATTATCAAGAATTTTGTTAATATAATCAAAAAATAAAGTCCCAAATACCTAAAATGATTTATGATATTATTATTGCCGAACACGTTTACTACAAGTCAACTTTTAAGAGTTAATTATAAAAGTGTTATTGTCTAGATTCTAGTTGTCTGTTTGCAAAGATAAGCTTTGATAAATTATTAAGAACTAGTTTATTAATTAGTATAATATGCTTATTTATGTACAGGTACAGTACGTCTACAGAATCATAAAACTAAAACTTCGTAGAAACTAAAAGATCTATATGAATCGTCCATGTAATTTATAGGTTATCTTTTATTTTATAGCTTTAATATAGAAGAAAATTCGAAATATTTCTTAATATTCAGGCATTATTAATTTAAATATAAGACTCAAACTGTACAAAAGATAAATATAATAAATTAAGGTATAAATATACAATAAATTAAAGCTTAAGTGAGCTCAAATTCTACATACAAATAAATATAAATGCAATAAAATAAACTGATATAAATTCAAGTTATGTTAATTTGTTAATTAATTTAATTTCTTACATAAATTCATAACTCCTTTTCTGTTTTTTGAGGTTGTTATCAGTTTATGAAAATTAGAAACTGGCGTGACATCTTGTCTTGTAAATCAACTTTTAAAATAATAAATATTTATTATTTTAACAGAAAAAAAACATTTTTACACGATATTAAAATATGTATGCTTAAATTTTTAAATAATTTTAATTAATAAATCAAATAAACACGATATTAATTTGTAAATTAATTTTTTATATATAAAAAAAAAGAGTTGATAAAAGATAGTTTAAAAAAAAAGTAAATGAAATTTAGTAGAACTATTTACAAATTGCTGATAAGTTCAACAAAGAAAGCATAAATCTGTAAATTCCTTTACAGAAAATAACATGAAAGGATCATTAGTAAGCTTATTAAACTAAGAAAATTGTTAAGAAATATAATAAAATATAAAGATAGAATAGTTTAAAGTAAAGACTATTATCTCAGCAATACTATTTATCTTACTTGTTTAGAATTTAAATGAATTGAGGCAGGGCTACACGGTTATGTAGTTTGAGATTGTACACCTAGATTTGCCTCTTCC